TCCCTGTCTCATCCCCTCCCTGTCTCATCTTTTCCCTGTCTCATCTCTTCCCTTTCTAATCCCCTCCCTGTCTCATCTCTTCCCTGTGTAATCCCCTCCCAGTCTAATCCGCTCCCTGTCTCATCCCTCCCTGTCTCATCTCTTCCCTGTCTCATTTCTTCCCTGTCTAATCCCCTCCCTGTCTAATCCCCTCCCTGTCTCATCCCGGCCCTGTCTCATTCCCTCCCTGTCTGATCCCCTCCCTGTCTCATCCCCTCCCTGTCTCATCTCTTCCATCTCATCTCTTCCCTGTCTAATCCCCTACCTGTCTCATCTCCTCCCTGTCTAATCCCCTCCCTGTCTCATCTCATCCCTGTCTAATTCCCTCCCTGTCTCATCTCTTCCCTGTCTAATCCCCTCCCTGTCTCATCTCTTCCCTGCTTCATCCCTTCCCTGTCTAATCCCCTCCCTGTCTCATCTCTTCCCTGTCTAATTCCCTCCCTGTCTCATCTCTTCCCTGTCTAATCCCCTCCCTGTCTCATCTCTTCCCTGCTTCATCCCTTCCCTGTCTAATCCCCTCCAGCTGTCTCATCTCTTCCCTGTCTAATCCCCTCCAGCTGTCTCATCTCTTCCCTGCTTCATCCCTTCCCTGTCTAATCCCCTCCAGCTGTCTCATCTCTTCCCTGCTTCATCCCTTCCCTGTCTAATCCCCTCCAGCTGTCTCATCTCTTCCCTGCTTCATCCCTTCCCTGTCTAATCCCCTCCCTGTCTCATCTCTTCCCTGTCTAATCCCCTCCAGCTGTCTCATCTCTTCCCTGTCTAATCCCCTCCAGCTGTCTGTGAACAGATAAGATAAGCGTGTCCATCATTTCATCCGCGTCACTCAATGTGTACACGCAACTCCACACAGCTTTGTGTCTGACGTGTCTGTCATCTGGCGTCGCACCAGGTCACGTGGTGGAAACTCTTAATGCACAATAGTGTCACATTAGTGCCGGACGTGCGTCATAGTCGCACCAGTGAACCAGTGGCATTAAGTTTAAAGCAGTGGCATTAAGTTTAAACCATTGGCATTAAGTTTAAACCAGTGGCATTAAGTTTAAACCAGTGGCATTAAGTTTAAACCAGTGGCATTAAGTTTAAACCAGTGGCATTCAGTTTAAAAAAAAATATTTTCAGAATAAACATTTTCATCTTCAATACCTTGTAATCAATGTATTTTCTATCTCGTGATCAACTGATGTAATCAATGTCTTTTCTATCTCGTGATCAACTGATGTAACCAATGTCTTTTCTGTCACATGATCACCTGATTTCAATAAAATATGTTGTTGTTTTTTCTCTCTCTTCATTTATCCACTCTCCATTTCTTGTCATCCTGGTCTGATGACCCCAAGATAAGTTTTGCTTTGTACAATTTAACAATAACCAATGCTACCTACCCATACTTGAGATATGCTACTGAAACATTATACATGTCACACAGTTTGTCACAGGGATGTCACATAGGCTGCCACATAGTTGTCACATAGGTCGTCACATATGATGGCACATAGGTTGTCACATAGTTTTCACATAGTTGTCATATGTTTGTCACATATGACGTCAAAAAAGTGTCACATAGGTTGTCACATAGGTTGTCACATAGGTTGTCTCATAGGATGTCTCATAGGATGTCACATAGGATGTCACATAGGTTATCACATAGGTTGTCACATATGTTGTCTCATAGGTTGTGTAATAGGTTGTCACATAGGTTGTCACATAGGTTGTGTAATAGGTTGTCACATAGGTTGTCACATAGGTAGCCACATAGGTTAACACTTAGGTTGTCACAAGGTTGTCACATAAGTTTTCACATAGGTTGTCACATAGGTTATCTAACACATTCTTAAATAAATTCTTTCATGAGTTTTAAAACTATATACCATTTCCCGGTGTGTAAGATATTTGAGCTTTGAGATAATAGTAATATTACTATACTTAAAAACTACGCCAAGCTATGTTGTTGCGTGATTTATGTTGTCCTGGGCACCCAGCCATACTGTGGCGTGATCTCTGCTGTATGGGGCACCCAGCCATAAAGTGGTGTGATTTCTGCTGTCTGGGCACTTACCAGTACTATAGCGTTATTTTTGCTGTCTGGGGCACCGTGCTATAATTTGTGCTATCTGGGGCACCTGCCATACCGTGACGTGACTTGTGCTGCATGGGGCACCCAGCCATACCGTAACGTGACTTGTGCTGCATGGGGCACCCAGCCATACCGTGACGTGACTTGTGCTGTATGGGGCACCCAGCCATACCGTGACGTGACTTGTGCTGCATGGGGCACCCAGCCATACCGTGACGTGACTTGTGCTGTATGGGGCACCCAGCCATACATTGACGTGACTTGTTTTGTGCTGTATGGGGCACCCAGCCATACCGTGACGTGACTTGTGCTGCATGGGGCACCCAGCCATACCGTGACGTGACTTGTGCTGTATGGGGCACCCAGCCATACATTGACGTGACTTGTGCTGCATGGGGCACCCAGCCATACCGTCACGTGACATGCTGTATGGGGCACCCAGCCATACTGTGACGTGCCTTTTGCTGTATGGGGCACCCAGCCATACTGTGACGTGACTTGTACTGTATGTGGCACCCAGCCATACCGTCACGTGACTTGTGCTGCATGGGACAAAGTAAATCAAACTAATGTTTTATTAAGTTTTCAAATGTTAACAACCCTATGTTACTACCACTATGTTAACAACCCTATGTTGCTACCACTGTGTTAACAACCCTATGTTGCTACCACTATGTTAACAACCCTATGTTGCTACCACTATGTTAACAACCCTATGTTGCTACCACTATGTTAACACCAGTATGTTGCTACCACTATGTTAACAACCCTATGTTGCTACCACTATGTTAACAACCCTATGTTGCTACTACTATGTTAACAACCCTATGTTGCTACCACTATGTCAACAATCCTATGTTGCTACCACTATGTTAACACCCTATGTTGCTACCACTATGTTAACAACCCTATGTTGCTACCACTATGTTAACAACCCTATGTTGCTACCACTATGTTAACACCCGTATGTTGCTACCACTATGTTAACAACCCTATGTTGCTACCACTATTTTAACAACCCTATGTTGCTACCACTATTTTCACAGCCATATGTTGCTACCACTGTGTTCACAACCCTATGTTGCTACCACTGTGTTCACAACCCTATACTTTGCTTATAGCAATGTCACAATAGTGATACATTAAATGAAAGGTGAAGAATGGAAAACTCATTATACACAATATTTTTACACCCAGGTTGACATATAAGCCACCCCTTCCGATTTTGTCGGAACTAAACGGATGTTTTACCCCTCATTCCAACCTTCCGACAAACCCGTTAAAATTCAGATTTTTCGAACTTGATAATTTTTCACCCGTCATAAAAATCCGAAAGCGACCAAAATTTTTTTTTTAAAAATCGGGAACATTTGTTTTCACGAACGGCCTGCATTTCCGGCGACCGGATGAATGAGTGAATGAATTCTCGGGATATTCGTCCGGCTATTACTATCATTATATTCGACCATGTCACATGACCACCGTGACAAAAGTTTGCGCGAGATATCTGTCCGTCAGCCTTGTCACGTGACCGCTAATTGTCGATCAGAATGTGCGGTACTTCATTTCAGCAAATTCGTGATCGTCTTATCAATTACATGAAAAGAAATATGTTCAATTCTGTAAAAGAAATACTAGGACCATTGCTGGCATTTATATAATGAACAATTGGTTAAACGGCACACATTTTTTTTTAAAAATAAAGCGTGTTATGCCCGCCGGATGACAATCTCCCGCGCTATTTGTCCGGTCGCCTGACGTGTAGCCACTGCCTTGTTTTTTTTAAGCGAAGCGAACCGCGATCTCCAAGTCATTCTTCAATCATCCATTGACCCGATCGCGATTCATCCTTCTTACAAGGCTAAAAAATAGTTCAGAATTGTCTTAATTGAATGGTTCAATCTATTGAAAGTGGTGGGTTAAACTGGTATTAATAAACATAGTTTAACTTTGAACCCCACCCTCAACACAAAGCAGCACGCAAAACTGCAGCTAAAAGTAATCCATGTCTAATGGTGTTTTTTTTTTGCCAAGGAATCGGGCGATTCTGTTGGCAGATCTTTTAGGTACCCCCTTTCTTTTGGAAGGAAAAACTTCTCTAGCCGACTCCAAACGTTTTAATGCCAGAGTCAAAGAAAGGTTTCCAGACTTGCCGAATGTTAAAAGATTGTCAAGAAAAATTTGCAATTGAAACAAGGGCAAGCATTGAAAGTTGATACTCTTTCTGGCCGGCTTTGTGACTAAAACCAATGGCAATGCTAACCGCCAGTCGTCCAAAGAGCTGTTGGCTGTTGGACAAAAGTGCAAACAGGCCACTAGGGATATGCTGGACAGCTGAGCTCTTACCAAGATTCATTCTTAGCAGCCTGCGTAACATTTCAATAAAATGGATCTTCTGTTCTTTATTGTATGTATACGTCTGTATAATAAACATTTCCAGTAATGTTTTCTCATGTTGTGCGGTGTTCTAAGAACTCTTCATAGACAATGGTGGTAACTTTATAGTTCTTTTTATACTAAAAAAAGGCATGTGCATTGGTTTATAGATCTTAAACCACCCCCCCCTTTTCCACGGGGCACCGACGCCTGGGAAGCAGCGTTCCTACTTCTCCCTGCATGCAACCCCCCACCCCCCCCGCCCTTTACATATTTTTTTCTTGGCAGGTTGTACTAGAATGTACAACGTGGTTGCGTTGTCCCAGCTTATAGTATGTGAAACGTGGTTGTACCAGCTGGAATGTACAAATTGTTTGCGTTGCCCCAGCTTGTATGTGAAACGTGGTTGTACCAGCTGGAATGTACAACTTGTTTGCGTTGTCCCAGCTAATAGTATGTGAAACGTGGTTGTACTAGCTAGAATGTACAACTTGTTTGCGTTGTCCCAGCTAGTATGTGAAACGTGGTTGTACCAGTTAGATTGTACAACTTGTTTGCGTTGTTCCAGCTTATAGTATGTGAAACGTGGTTGTACCAGCTGGAATGTACAACGTGGTTGCGTTGTCCCAGCTAGTATGTGAAACGTGGTTGTACCAGCTGGAATGTACAACGTTGTTGCATTGCCCCAGCTAGTATGTGAAACGTGGTTGTACCAGCTGGAATGTACAAAGTGGTTGCATTGCCCCAGCTAGTATGTGAAACGTGGTTGTACCAGCTGGAATGTACAAAGTGGTTGCATTGCCCCAGCTAGTATGTGAAACGTGGTTGTACCAGCTGGAATGTACAAAGTGGTTGCGTTGTCCCAGCTTATAGTATGTGAAACGGGGTTGTACCGGCTGGAATGTACAAAGTGGTTGCGTTTCCCCAGCTAGTATGTGAAACGTGGTTGTACCAGCTGGAATGTACAAAGTGGTTGCGTTGCCCCAGCTAGTATGTGAAACGTGGTTGTACCAGCTGGAATGTACAACGTGGTTGCGTTGTCCCAGCTTATAGTATGTGAAACGTGGTTGTACCAGCTGGAATGTACAAATTGTTTGCGTTGCCCCAGCTTGTATGTGAAACGTGGTTGTACCAGCTGGAATGTACAACTTGTTTGCGTTGTCCCAGCTAATAGTATGTGAAACGTGGTTGTACTAGCTAGAATGTACAACTTGTTTGCGTTGTCCCAGCTAGTATGTGAAACGTGGTTGTACCAGTTAGATTGTACAACTTGTTTGCGTTGTTCCAGCTTATAGTATGTGAAACGTGGTTGTACCAGCTAGAATGTACAAAGTGGTTGCGTTGCCCCAGCTAGTATGTGAAACGTGGTTGTACCAGCTGGAATGTACAACGTGGTTGCGTTGTCCCAGCTAGTATGTGAAACGTGGTTGTACCAGCTGGAATGTACAAAGTGGTTGCGTTGCCCCAGCTAGTAATAACAATATGCTCGTCCCCACAGGTTGGCGAGGTTTTTTTCTTCTCTTCACATTTTATCCTCTAGACTCTTAGTATACTTTTAATCATGGGCTCCAGGGTTACATCTCGTCTTTAGGTCCGCCAAGAAGTACGGGATATCAATTTCATTAAGGGGCAACTGTTAGACGTGTCTTCCATTTCATGTTACAGAATCAAAATGTCTAATATCATTTGGACATCAACAACTAACCAAAAAAATGCTCAAATTTTCATAATCATTCAATACATTATTTAACACCCTTAAGGGTGTAGTTTAAGAAGATGATTTATTCTAATATTACATCTCACGTGAAAAGTGGGGGGGGGGTGGGGGGGCTGGGAGAGATATCGTCCCTGCAGAACTAAACTATGTAACTCGTCAGTAATGAAAACACTGCATCACTAAATCTTTACTTTTGAACTAGACTCTGTCATTTGAGAATCACTGATGGGAGATTTACGATGTGAGATTCGAGTGAGACAGTTCATTTTTAAAACTTAAGAAAAAAACAAAACATTTTAAATTTATAAATAAATAAATATATTATCGTAAAAAGTTTATTTCGTTTCCTTGTGTCTTACAATGAGTTTTTATATAATTTTTTGCTGCATAATTATATGTTTATGTCTTCAATTTAAGTAATTTTTTTTTACTGTATTTTAAAATTTTCAATATCCTTCACGGGTGTCAAATGAAAAAAAAATATTACAAATGTTTACTTTCATAAGAATTCAATAAAAATCAATAAATTGTCCGATTGTTGCTAACTCAGTGTGTTTTTTTAGTATTATGACGTACTTCTCCAGCTAACTAATAAATATTGGTGAATAAATACATTTTTTTTGCCAGTGGCACTAGAGCCCATTTAATTTTAAAAATAATGAGAGAAGATTTTAAAAGATTAATGATTATTAAAAATGATTAAAAAGGATTCCTAAAAGATGTCGTGTAAACTGAATACAAATAATTAAAAATGTTTATAAAAAATTATTTTAAAGGATTTTAAAAGAATTAAAATGTATAAGAAAAAATTCAAAAATTTGATAAACTTTGAAACATATAACCACAATGAAACACATTAAAATATAAAAAAAAAAAAAAAAAAAAAAAAAAAATAAAAAAAAAAAAAAAAAAAAAAAAAAAAAAAAAAAAAAAAAAAAAAAAAATAAAAAAAAAAAAAAAAAAAAAAAAAAAAAAAAAAAAAAAAAAATAAAAAAAAAAAAAAAAAAAAAAAAAAAAAAAAAAAAAATTAAAGGATTTTAAAAAAATTAAAATGTATAAGAAAAAATTCAAAAATTTTATAAACTTTGAAACATATAACCACAATGAAACAAATTAAAATATAAAAAAAAAAAAAAAAAAAGGAAACAATTTGGAAC